GAATCTCATTTTTGGGATGATTTAGTGAAGTTTTGAGGTGGTTTGAATTGAAAATTCGAAGTAAAAGCTGAACATAAAAAAAATGATACGTGTATCACACTGTGTATCATTTGTGTATCACATATGTATCATATTTGTATCAATTGTGTATCACATGTACATCCATGTATACCTGTGTGTGAGATACATGTGTGATACATGTTTGATACATGTGTCGCAGAAGACTTTTTTGAACTCGATTTAATTACGAATTTTGATACAAAACCAGTCCAAATCACCTCCAATCTTTCTCAAATTTTGTATATTGACTTATCTATATATTTTCAATGAATTTCAACTATACCCATTGAAAAAGTTCCTTTTTTGTTTAGATTTTTGGAATATTGTATAGATTTTTGTATTTCATCACCTTATTTGCTACCCCGTCCATGAAATTTCCTTTCCGTCTTGTATCTAATGTTGCTAATCACGCTTAAAAATATGGAAGGTGAGTTTTGCATGTGATTCTATGATAGAAAGAATCCTATTATTTGATTTTTCAATTTTTGTTGGCTAGTTTTGGTAAGTAATGACTAGAGGTTGGTAAGTTGAGATTTATTTGGGACATTTGTGTAAGTTTCTCTTAATATTTGACGCGGGCTAAAAGTGAAAAAAGTCCAATGTGCAACTAGTTGATAAGATAGTGTAAAAATTCTTAACCATTATTTTACAGAATTTAAAAGCTAAGAAAGAGAAACGTAAGTTTATATGCAATTCGATTGGCTCCAGCAGGGTGCCTCAGTTTGTTTTTTCCTTTTCATGCTATCAATCCATACTTAATGCAGACATGTATTTGGGATTCAATGGATAAAGGTTTAAGAATTTAATTTTTATATACGAACTCTGTATAAAGAAATTTTTACTTTAAAAAATCACTTAAAAGCCAATCACAAGGTATAAGAGTTAAATCCAAAATTTAAATTAAAAACTTTATCATGCTGCAGACGCTGTGTGGCTTGCATGTGATCCTCTTTAGAATATTAACATGGCTTGGCTTCTTCTACTTCCACTCCAAGCTGTAAAAGCCATAAAAGATGTTGGTGTCAAACCATCAGTTTGCTCTGTATAGTTCCTGAATCCTCCCGCCCTCTCATGTATTGCAGACACTATTTTTAGCAACTTTCTATATATATATTTCTAGTTGGGTGGGTCCTACCCTCCAATTATGTGAATCAGATCACTATCAACAACCACTTGTAGTACTTTTTCTTTAATTTCCTTTTGGGAAAATTTGCTATCTTTATTGTACATGATAACTTAATGAGGAAACTCTGCATTCTGATAACTTAATGATAGCGTTTAAGAGGACATTATTGCACTCTTTTAATCCCATTTTGATATATGCTAAAGCTCTTTTAATTGAACACCTTTTAAAGACCAGTGCAACTGCTACTGTGATGATGGAAAAAACCTCATTTAAAATAGATAGAAGAGCTATTTTCTTCAAGATTTTTAATCCTACAGTCAAGAGTGAACTGGTAATATTCTTCTTCTTTTCAGAAAAAGTAATTCTTATAAGTGAGCGACCTAAGAATGTATTTTAAAGAACATTTTTGCAAAATATTTTCTGTCATACCAAACAAACACATCTAATGTTACTCTTTTGACTCTCACAATTTGCAGAGAATACCAGCCCATTTTCTAAGGCATATTTCAGAAGATTCACCTGATAAAGCAACTCTGAGGTGTCTTTCTGGAGGCATTTGGAATGTAAAATTACACATTGATGAAGATGGCTTGCTTATACACCAAGGTTGGGAGAAATTCCACAAAGATAACCATATAGAAGATGGGGAGTTTCTCGTGTTTAGGTACGACCGGGCTCTACAATTTACAGTAAGAATTTTCAACAAAAATGGACTGGAAAGAGAAGCGAAGTCAACAACCATGGACAAAAATCAAAAAGCTGATACGTTCAAGAACCAGAAAAGGCCACCAAAATACCCTTACAACCCTAAACAGACTCATGTGGACGTTGAAAATGGCACAGGTATGGTGATTTAATTTGTAATTTTATGCATTATTACAGCCTAATAAGTTGAATTAATTCAATGTGCTATGTTGTGTTTTCTTCAGAACATGAAACTCCAAGAAAAAAAGTTGCAGTTGAGAAAGCTAAGGTCCTTCTCACTCCAGATATTCCTCAATTTGTGAAATGTTTGAAAAGCTACAATGTGAACAAGTCCTGTTTCATAGTAAGTACTTTCTAAAACTAATTTAATTCCATGCTTTATTGATTTTTGTGACCAGTAAGTAAACAATACGAAATATATAACATATACCCCTGTCGTTCATCAAAGTTTTAAATATTGTTTAAATATATCCCTCGTTATACTTTCTGTTCACATATACTCCTACTGCCCATCAAAGATTTAAATATAACCCATATTTTAACGGACATGACACGTGGTAGACTCTAATCAAATTTTCTAATTCAGAAACAAAAAAACCCCAACCAGACTAAAAGGTTTTAAGAGGGAAATGGGGTGGAAATGACACCAGGTAGCCACTTTTAAGCATGCTGTTTAAAATATATCCACGGTTTACAATGTATTTAAAGATTAGCCTATTTCGCGCAAACTTCAGGACACGACGTCCTAGAGTTTAAAACTCATATCCTAAAGTTCGAAAATTGTGTCAAGAAGTTCAAATCTTATGTCCTAAATTTTAAATTATTAGTAGTTCAGAAATTCAGGACACTTAGTCATGAAATTCAAATTAGCAGCTCAAAAATTCAGCACACTAAGTCCGAATTTCCAAATTCAGGATATTTAGTCCTGAAGTTTGGGTGAATTGGCTAATCCTTAAATACACTGTAAATTGTAGATATATTTTAAATAACGGGCTTAAAAGTGGCTGTTGCTGCACTTCGCCCGGAAACGAGTCGGTCAGTCATGAGTTTTAGTCTGTTTTTTTTTTTTTGTCTACGGGTTGGGAAATTTTATTAGAGGCTGCCACGTGTTGTGTCCGTTAAAATAGGGTATATTTCAAACTTTTAAAGTATGATAGATTTAAACAATATTTGATAATAGATGGTTATATCCGACCCTTTTCCGTATGTTTTATTAACCAAGTTATTCTAATGCAGTATGTTCCGAAGTCCTTCTGTGAACAACTTTCAGAATCAGCCAATAAGACAACAGTTATCCTCAGTAATTCAGAGGGAAAAAAGTGGAAAGTGAATTTTGTATTACAAAAAGGATACCATGCTTTTTGTGGAGGTTGGAAACAGTTTGTGAAAGATAACAAACTTAAGGAAGGAGATGTCTGTGTTTTTCAGCTTGTCAATACAAATGAACTGAAGGTCTCCGTTTTCGACAATCCTCCTGAATATTTGTTGAAACTTGCTGTATAAAGATGTGCAAGAATGTAAATATTAATTTGATGCAAATGTTTTGGGATCTGAACTCTGTAGCTGCTTAACATTGACTATCTTGTTCTCATTTCCTTTTTATGTTCATGAGTTCTTTAACTTCTTACAATTCAGTAATTTTGTATGTACAATCATCAGAGATCTGGTAATGTTGATTTTATTTCTGGAAATGATGCATAAAATGTAGAAAAATTAACCTAAATAGCCGCCCGCCCAACCACTTAAATTAAAAATAACTAGTAGGTGTAATATATATATATATATATATATATATATATATACCGACCGGAAAAAGTAAAGTGTGAATCCAGCCGGCTATTTATGTAAAGATCTAAACTTTACCAGAGAGCATATTCACTTACAACTTGTTTGGATGGTTGTTCCGTATCGTTTTATAATGTATCGTATCGTATTGTATTGTATTGTACTGTATCGTTTGATAAATACAATGTTTGAATAGATTGTGTCATTTGCCATCGTTTCATGATATCACGCACCAACAATATGAAGAATAAACTTGCAATATTATAAAGAACAATTATGATACAGGGTAAAATTATTATATAAAAAGGTAGGATAAATGATAAAATAAAATTATTTAATAATAATGAAGGGTAAGATTTAGAGAAAAAAACAAGGTAAAGACACGACCACACCAAATCGATCGTTACATAAAGTGGCACATTTCGTCGTTATGTAACGACGAATTTAACGATACGATACAATAAAATTTAAGTAACAATCAAAACAAATATCGTATTTAAAGTAACAATACGATATAATACAATGGGTAACAACCATCCAAACAAGCTGTTAGAGTTCTCTGGTGCAAAAACCAATTAATATATTACTACTGTCTCATATAGCCAGTAGTTGATGTAGCATATAGTCATTGGTTCAACTAAATCCAGCATTTAATATACGAAGTGTAGGTATGTGAATATGAAAATCACTATAGTTTCAAGAAATATTAGATTTTGAACCCAGAATTTCAAAAGTGTAACGGGTTCAAGGGTAAAACCTGAATGCTAAACCCATCAAATTTAAATTCTGATCGTCAAGCGATATAGCCAACAAAACTACTCCGGAACTGAGGCTCAGTTGATTGATTGAATAAGAATGCAAACCATTTGCTTTATAATTTCACAAATTATGTACCAGCAACCATAGGAGAATAAAATGAGGAGGTTGAAAAGCAATCCTGTCACTAAATGATGAAATCCAGAAAGCATATGTATGAAATCTGGACCATAATCTGTCAAGTTAATTTCATTATTCCCTCCGGTCCACAATAGGTGACCAATCTGCTTTTTTATTTTGATCCAAAATAAGTGTCCATTTATATAATCAAGAAAAAATTCAATTTGTTTTTTCAAAATTACCCTTAAGGGTAATTTAATCACACTAATTAATGGGTGTGTCAAAAGCAAATTGGTCACTTATTATGTACCGTAGGGAGTACTAAATAAGCAAATTTTATCAATCCCTATTGAAGCTATAGTCAAAGCTACACAATCCCATTAAAAGGTGCATTTTAATCATTGTCACCTTAAAGTTCACCCACCAAAATTAAAAACTGACAGAGGAAATGGTGAGAAAGAGTAGTAACACTAGCATTCCTAGAGATGATAGCCCTTGCTTTTACAAGGTTATTTTCGATCCTCACGTTGAAGAACTGGTAAAGTTGGATCCTTTATTTAATACAGAGTACTTGCTATTAAATCTTCTTTTTGTTTTACATATATCACTTGATTTTAAGAGATCTGGTTGCTTATTTAAATCTTGTTTAAGTTCAAAATCTCATAAATTTGAGAGATGAGAAGTTTTATTTATTTATTTCAGATCTACAAATCTTATTCGTAAACTTAAGCTGTTAGAGAGTAAATACTTTCCTTTATTTATATTATCCATGCAATGTGCTCCTCACGTGCTTGTTACGCATGTGGGAAATGTCTTTGTTGACGTGTGGAGGTGAAACTTGAATTAAACTTAAATTGCTATGACTAAACACTTTTATTTATTGATTTTAAATTTAGCATGTAGAAATATATTAATTTAGATCTACCACGTGCGATCTAATTGTTTCTCTAGGATGAAGTGCGTGCAAATTTTTTTTATACGTGGCGATATATGAAACTCAAACTCAAGATCAGCTCCGTTTGATTTGATATAAATAAATTGTATGAACTATTTCATTTAAGAACTTAAAATCTTGTTCAAATTTAAAACCTCATAAATTTGAGAGCTAGAATACTTTTATTTATTTATTTTAGATCTATAAACTTTATTCATAGATTTAAGTTGTTAGAGAGTAAACACTTTTGTTTATTTATTTTAGATCCATACGACGTGCTTCTCACGGTGCTTGTTTGATCTTACTCATGGATTACACATGTAAAAATATCTTAGTTGAAGGATGGTGTTGGAACTTGAATTCAACTTATTTGCTATGAGTAAACACTTTTATTTGTAAATTAAAATGTATGAATCATTTCATCTAAAAACTTAAAAATGCCAGAACATGATTTTTTTCTTCTCTTTCCCCTGTGTTGTAGAGAATTCCACCAGAATTTGTGAAGCATATAACAAATGAAGCAACAGAAACAACAATTCTAAAAGGACCATCTGGCAAATATTGGAACATGAAATTAAGAGAGGATGAAGAAGGGCTGTTCTTGAGTGCAGGTGGATGGAAGAAATTTGCAAGAGAGCAACAATTGGAGGAGGGTGATTTCCTACTTTTTCAATATGATGGGAACATCACATTCCATGTACGCATTTTCAATAAGAATGGATTAGAGAGATGATTCATAAGTCCAAGTTCCCTGTGGTGAAAGAAAGAAAAAAGAAATTGTGGACTGAATTTATAAGGCTTTCTCCTAGTTTTTCCTTGTTCTTTAATATTATATAAGAATTACATGTTTGGATATGGTTTTTGAAGACATGTTTCTAGCAGCATTTGTGTTAATCAACATAAGCAATTCCCTTATATTTTTATTGAGTTGGTGTAAATACAGGGGCCAGATTTATTGGGTGGTTTACGGGGCACATGAACGCAGGATCTTTTAGCTAAATAGGTATTTTATGTATGTATTTTTTAAAATTAGTCTAATATTATCTGTTGGCACCCATGCTCCACAAAAACTGAATGGTGCACCTGATTCAATATTGAATTATTTACCCAACGGAATATGGATTAGTTATAATATATGCATAACTTTTGTATTATATATGTATAATTATCGGGATAATACATAATTACCCCCTAAGATTGTTTCACTTTACCAGTTGTACCCTTATACTTTGTGAGAGTCGTATGACCCCCGTTAGAAGTGTAATAAGTACCACATTTCCAAGTCATCCCCAGTTTCAAAAGAAGAAGTGCAAATCACGCGCCAATCTTTGCGTGCCACGTGTCAAATTCCTTTTGTTTTTAATTTTTTTCAGTTTACCTTTTTATTTGTCTTTTTAATCTTATTTTATTCTTTTTCTTTTGGATTTTTTTTTGAGAAACTGGAGATTTTATTGAAAATATACTAAAGTTGTTCCATACTTACGATTGCCAAGTTCGGCTAACATCCTACAAACATTGTCTACAACAAATTTTAAAGAAGTTTCTCTGTCTTTGTCTGCCAATACCTTGGTGTCAACAAGAGAAGGAGGAACTGCCAGATAGACTAGATGATCCATGTTAGACTGATTGATTGCCTTCTTAGCTAGTAAGTGGGCTTCTTCATTTCCTTCCCTGAAGTTATGCATAATCCTTGGCTTCCCCATTCCGGTCAGTAATAACCTGCAGTCATAAATTAAGGCATCGTAAGTAGGACATCCATGCTTCAAGTATTTTATTACCTAGTTGAGTCAATTTTCACTTCCAGTGGTATGAGATTCATTTGCATAGCCACTTGGAGACCTTGTCTGAGTGCCAGGAATTTTGCATGCAAAGGAGAAATAGCTTTGGAATAATCATGGTAGCCAACTACCCAGTCACCTTTACAATTCCTTACTACACCTCCTATTCCACAACACAATTTGTTGACATTGAAGGCAACATCGGTATTTAACTTGTACCATCCAGCAGGTGGTTTATACCATCGAATATGTATAGGAATTTTCTTAGTGGGATTACTTTCTCTGTCAGTCATGAACTTATATTCCACAGCATGATTAATAGCAGTCATAGAGTAGCACTGTCTGTGTTATTTTGATTGTTACGATTTCTGTTCATCCAAAAATTCCAGATAACAAATGGAAAAAGATCCCTCCTAGTCAATATTTTATTAACATTAGTCGTGGGGCTCATGTCTCTAACTGTAATAAGCCAGTGCTTATTATTAGATATTTGGTGATCTACTGCAATACCTAACTTGTTCCAAACATTACGTGCCGCATAACAATATAGAACTATATGAGTAATGGTTTCTTCAGCTCTTCTACTTACTGGACATACTACGTTTATGTTCATTCCAAGGTAGTTTAGATAAGAATGACAAGGGAGCCTATCGTGATAACATAGCCATAAAAGGAACTTAATTTTGTTCGGGGAATGAAGTTTCCAAATCCATATAAAATCTTTCTCTGTATTACTAAAGCCATCGATGAGTTTGTAGCAGGAGTTGGTAGTAAACACACCACTACTAGTAATATCCCAAATTGGAGTGTCATAGGCTTTGGGATTGAGTGGATGAATAACTAGGTTGATGTTGTCATAAATATTGGGGGGTAAAACAAATGAAATCTTAGAGAGGTCCCGGTCGTTGTCCGTGCACAAGTCTTTAATAGTCAAATTGAGATGTTTAGAGGCCCCTCTATAGTGCTTCTAAGGCTATGAATATTTGGGATCCATCTGGCATTCCACACATTGAGTGTAGAATTTTTATGAGTGATCCAAAGCGTTCCCAAATTACAGTAGTACTACCCTTTGATTATGCCTCGCTATATAAATGAAGGACTGGACTTAGGTTTACCAGATGCATAGCTACTAATAAGAAGTTGAGACCACAAGGCATTGGGAGAATTAAGTAGTCTCCATGGAAGACCAGTCAAAAGTGCTAAATTTTTTGATTTAGCCTTCTTTATTCCTTGTCGCGCCCCCTTTTCCCCTTCCCTTTTTGACGGGGAGAGAGGTCCGGTTTCGACATTCACGGGGTGTAATGACTCATTTCCTTTTTGGGAATTGGGTATCCGAGGACATGACACTTGATAGGAAAATGTGGAGGTCGAGTATTAGGGTTGTAGGTTATGAGGTAGTTGAGTCTTGCCTTACTTCGTACCTCTGTGAGACTAGCCTAGTAGGATTTTTGTCTAAGATAGCTATCGGCAATATTGTGTATTACTATTACGCTTTTCAATGCATGACATATTTACTACCTATCGCTTTTGCTTTGCATCTTTCTTCTGAACTTAATGTTGTTCCTATTTTTCCTATGATTTATGTGGTGATACTAATATTGTCCCCCCCTTTTTTTGTCTTTCTGTTTTCTTGCGCCGAGGGTCGTCCGGAAACAACCTCTCTACTCCTTCGGGGTAGGGGTAAGGTCTGCGTACAAACTACCCTCCCCAAACCCCACTAGTGGGATTTTACTGGGTTGTTGTTGTTGTTGTATTTGAAGAGTCGCCACCTAACGGATTATGGTGCGTTAGGGCACCTAGAGTGATTAACTCTTGGGTTGGTTTGCATTACCAGAGATTAGGGTAAGGGCTCGAAATAACCTCGAGGGGAAGGTGTTAGGCACCCCTCTTGGTCCACAACTGTGGGTCCCGGCCGAACTTATATTCACAAATCAGTCCATTACAAGTAAATACTTGAATCAAATAGGTTGCAAGTAAAGCACGTTAGAGTAACTCAAGTAGTAAGATAATTTAAAAAAGTCAGAGCTTCAAAAGCAATCGAAATTTAGGCACTTTTCTATTAAAGATAAAATCTGAACAAAAACACCTTTAAAATCTGAAAAAATTACAGCATAACATGTTGGAGGTAGAATTTTTAACATATGAGATTCCACCATAATATGCTTGAATTTCATAATGTGCTTGAATTCCAACATAATATGCTGGAAGTTTATACCCAGGATTTGATAGCGTTTCCTATTGGCATGACATCTAGGTTCAAATATGATTTTAAAGACTTGCTGGCGTGGAGACATACATAAACACTTGTTATAACAGAATCTAGGCTAAATTACATCCTATAGGCATGGCATCTACTTGTTAGGCTGATTTTAAGACTTGCAAACATGAAAACATACATAAACACTTGTCATAACAGAGTCTGGATTAAATCCTATAGGCATGACATCTATTAGTTAAGCTTATTTTAAGACATTGAAGATATGATTTCTACTACGGAATTATTTGAGACCTATAGGCATGGTTTCTAGCGTAGCGAGATAAACACGACAAGATGCAAAGCCCTATCAACATGATTTCCACCTGTTAAAGCAATCAACTCAAAATGTAAAGCCCTATGAGCATGATTTCTACCCGTGTTACTTCCACAAACATGTAACTACCCATCCGTTTCTACTAATTACCTCAATATCTGTTTACAAATTATTATAGACCATATGAATGAATTACATAAGTAAATAAGAAAATAAGAAGCTATTCTATAGGGAGCCTTCAATTAGGCCCAAATTTCCAAAGCCTCCAATGGCCTCAAATGCCTCAATTCCATAGACAATGTTATAGTCTAGGTGCATCAAAGTTTCCTAAGGACCTCAAGGATCCCGGGAAGTGCTTACACCTAGCCCTGGTAACCAAATTGAATAAGTGCAGTGTGGAAGGACCAGCCTTAGTATGCCAGAGTTCAGAGGGTTCTCAAGAGGATCCCAAGGCAGTACACATACTGGAGGGGGCAGAACTTATTTACCTAGGAGTAAAGTGAAAGTGCTTGACACAAGTTGAAAGGTTTTAGTGAAAGACTGTATTTAAAAAAAGGAAGTTTGTTCGAAAGTAATTTTAGTAAAACCACAGAGGCAGTTTGAAAAGAGATTGGAGTAATGAACAACAGTCCGAGCATAACATCTTAAAACAGGTTCGTACATAGACAGTAGTCACAGAAACAAACTAAATTCAGTAGTCCCAAACAGGGGTCAGGGGTTTGGGATTCATGGGACACTTAATTGAAAACACATAATCAAGCACAAGTCTAGGAATACTCAGAAACAAACAGAGGGGGCAATACATTGTTTCTAAGAGAAAGAAAGTTCATAACATGCTAATAATATTAACTACAGATTTCACAGCAAAATCACAAATAGAAGCAAACTAGAAACAGAATGAACTGAAGCAACAAAAGAATCATATTGTTGTTGAGACTTCGAATTGAAACTAGAACATACCAGTAAGGAAGAAAGCAAGCAAAGTGAAAGAGCAGGAGAACACAATAGTTAGCCCTGGCTTGCAGCCGGTTAACTTAGAGTAGTAGCAGGTAGCACAAAAAGAGAGCAGAAAGTTTTAAGTGTGAGAGAGAGAGAGTTTTTTGAACCAAGAGTTCGTGTGTTAAGACTGTAGAAGAGAGCCATTTATATAGTAGTTTGAAAACTGGTTAAAATAAGGCAAGAATCAAATTGTTCAGTAATTATGGAACTCGGTATAAAATTGGTTCGAATCTCCCTTTAATTAAGGGAATCAGTGCAAACGGTAAAGAGCAGGTGACAATTAAGGAAAGAAATCATACACTGCTAGAGTATAACAAATAAGGAAAGATTTCAAAATAGTACAAGTACAGAAGTAACAATGCAGACAAGGCAAGGGAAAATTAATTAAGGCAAGCAAATTAATCAAATTAAGTGGAAAGGTAGGA